TCTTTAAAAGATCACTCAGTACTCTGCAATACAAATAAAAAAATTCTGGCTAGCGTGAAATGTTTGTTTAGGCAATCACTGATACCTGTTTTCTCTCCCTCCCTCTCTCTCATTTTATTTATTTATTTTTAATGTTTTATTTATTTCTGAGAGAGAGAGAGAGACAGCATGAACAGGGGAGGGTCAGAGGGAGAGGGAGACACAGAGTCTGAAACAGGCTCTAGGCTCTGAGCTGTCAGCACAGAGCCCGACGGCAGGGCTCAAACCCATGAACCATGAGATCATGACCTGAGCTGAAGTCAGATGCTTGACTGACAGCCACCCAGGCACCCCTCCCTCTCTCTCATTTTAAATGATGAAAGCTCACGCTAGGTGAGATGATGAAAGTTCTCACCCAGCCACGATCACGTACAACAAAGGCCTTGATGTGGCCTGACTCACGGAAAGGGAAAGAAGGAAAGCCCTGTTGGAAGCCTACTTCATGTCAGCTATTATCTAAAAACCCTCAATCTTTTCGTTTTTATTTATTTTTGAGGGCGACAGAGACAGAGTGGGGGAGGGGCAGAGAGAGAATCCCAAGTGGGCCCCGTGCTATTAGCACAGAGCCCGACACAGGGTTTGAACTCAGGAAACCTTGAGATCATGACCTTGAGCCCAAACCAAGAGGATGCCGCTTAACCATCGGAGCCACACAGGTGCCCCTGAGGACGCTCGATCTTCTTCAAACCTCAAAACAATCCTTTGTGGTAGGCATTCTGATTTACATTTTACAGCCGAGGAAGCCTAGTTTGGAAGGCTTTTGAGAGTTCAGCTGGGCACATCTGGATGCAAGTCTGGGCACCTTCCCTTCTACCTTCTGGCGTGGTAAGTGGGTGTCACCGTGGTCCCTCTTCTGACCACTCATTTATCTGCAAAGCAACCCGCTTCCTGCTGACTCCTTTCCTGCTATTTGTGTGCAAATTCATTCATTCGTTCATTCATTCATTCATCCACTGATTCATTCATTGATTGATTCATTCACTCAGTGTGTCTGACCTTTGAGAAACAGCTGCTATTCTTCTTTTTCATTGGCAATTGTCCTATCAGCAACTTATTTCCGGGTTAGTCTCAGAAGTGCAACAGAAAGGACTTTGCTGTGGGCATAGAATGCTAGACAGTGGCCACTACAGATGTGGTGATTCCCAAGCCTGTCTGCTCTTGTGAGCCCCCGACCTGTGTGCCCAGTAACCTACTGGGCACCTCCACTGGTGTCTCCTAGAGCCCACGTGGGGTCTGAGACTGGAAGCATGGTCTTCCAGCCCAAAGCTGGCCCTCCTCCATGCCCCCTGTCTTAGGGAAAGACACCACCGCCCACCTTGGGGGAAGATTATCATACAGATAACAAAAAATTGATAACATACAAGGAACTCCTAAACCTCGATGAGAAAAAGACAAGCAACCCAATGGGAAAAAATGGCAGGATGCAAAAAGACATTTTTCAAAAAAGGAGCTCCAGATAACCAAAAAATGGAAAAGATGCCTAAGTGTCCAGAGGTCAGGAAAATGCAAATCCAGGTAATAGTGAAATGTTGCTTTATGTCTGATAATTAAACGTGCAAAAAAAAAAATCACAGGATGCTTGCTGAGCAGAAGGAAAAGGTGACTTGGGTGTTCTTGTTGGCGATGTAACACGCAGAAGCAAGCAGTGTGGGAGCACCTATTAAAACAAAAAATTTGTTTGCCCTTTGGTTCAGTCCCACTCCTGGGACTCTCTCCCATAGATGTGAAACCACAAATCCACAAAAACTCGTACAGAGGAATCGTTATTACAGTTACTGCGGTAGAAGCAGCAGCGAGGGACCGAACGTGTGTTTGACAGCCGTGGATGGCCGCTTTGTTCTGGTTCATTCTGGTTCATTCCTACCCTGGCATAATAGGAAACCACTGAAAGGAAGAAAGTCTTGCCGTACCAGTGGGTTGGGTGGGACTCTTACGAAGTATTCTTGATGGGAAGGGCAAAATGCAGAGATGTGTGCATAAGACCATGTTTTTGTTAAACCATGGCAAATTGCATATACATTTGCATATACACATTCTATGTGATATATCTTTATCTCATTTCATGATACGAGCAGGTGGAAGAAGAGCAAGTGATATGTTCAGAGTCGTTAACATAGTTTTTTTTTTAATGTTTTATTTTTTATTTTTGAGAGAGAGACAACATGACAGTGTGAGCAGGGGAGGGTCAGAGAGAGAGGGTGACACAGAATCCAAAGCAGTCTTCAGGCTCTGAGCTAGCTGTTAGCACAGAGCCCAACGTGGGGCTTGAACCCACGAACTGCGAGATTATGACCTTCCCTCGCCCCTCAGTGGCTCCCCCAAGCGGCTGCTCGTGGAGACACCTGGTCTTGTATTTGGTGGCACTGATCACAGCTGCAGCTGGGTGTCTGTCTCGTTATTTGGATAAGGTCCAACTTCCCTAATACAAAGTAAGCCCTGAGAGGGCAGGGACTGCGTCTGTCTTGTTCCGGGGTACGGAGAGTCCCCACAGACTGGAGCCGCCCACTGGGTAACAGGACCGTGCTGCTGTGAATGGGGGGCTCAGAGAGCCAGCACGTCTGTGTCCTGGTCCCTCTGTTGCCATAAACTCGCTGAATGACTCTGGACAGTTGGCGTGCCTCTCGGAGGCTGGTTGCTTGCCTGCGCGACTGCTGCGAAGTGTGTGGTGAGCTGTGAAAAGGGACACGAAGGTACGCGAACACACCACGGGCAGCGAGCAGGAATTTGGTGACATTTTCCTTCATGTATCTTGGAAACCTGAAGAAATGGGGGTAATTCCACTAATTTTGAGAGTTTCTTCCAGCCCCAGACTGGTCTCCCCCTCCCCTGTCCATGCTTCTCGCCAGTCTCGCTCCGTCCTTGACTTCTTTCTTCCTGCTGTTTTCAAGGCCAGGAAACATCGTCTCTTCCCGGGAAGCCAGCAGCCATCCATCTTTATGCAGCCAAGCTTCCTCTCATATATTCATTCGTTCATTCATTCATTCACTAACTCAGTCACTCACTCACAAGACACCTCGAGCCTCCACTGGTGGCTGTGGATAGATCCTCACTCCTCAAATCCTCTCATTCACCTTCCCGTGTGCTCCAGTCAAGTGCAAGAGAGAGGGCATGATGAGCGAAAGCATCGAGGGCTGCTGGTGTTATTTCTGTGGGCAGCCTCCCTTAATTAAGGGAGATGGGTTCTAAAAATCCTCTCAATTGGCAAACGGGAGATCGTTCCTTCTTATTTGAAATCACAGAACACGGCTGCCTACAATTGGTCTATTTGATAGTTTTGGTTTTTCCCGTGCTCTTTCAATTACTGTGATTGCTACCAGGCAAAAACTTCACGTTTTAATTTGTCTTTAATGCCTTTCCCTTAACAGCTTCTCTTCTCTCTTTTTTTTTTTTTTTTAATTTTTTTTAATGTTTTTATTTATTTCTAGGAGAGAGAGAGAGAGACAGTGTGAGCAGGGGAGGGTCAGAGAGAGAGGGAGTCACAGACTGAAACAGGCTCCAGGCTCTGAGCTGGCAGTCAGCACAGAGCCCGACGCGGGGCCCGAACCCACGAACCGCGAGATCATGACCTAAGCGAAAGTCGGACGCTTAACCGACTAAGCCACCCAGGCGCCCCAGCTTCTCTTCTCTCTTAACAAGAAAGTCAAGTCTGGAACCGGATGCGTTTAAGCGCATTTTGGCTATCCCGATCTAGCGGTGGTGGTAAATAGTTAACAACTGGATTGGCGTGGAGAAGGCAGGAGTGTCTGCTTGAAGCATTAGCTTCTGTGCTTGACTGAACGGGGTCCGGCGGGGACGGCAACGGTTAGAATGAGCTCTCCAGTGTCCCCGAGCTCTCACTCTGCGTCTTGCCCCCTGACTTGCTTCTCAGTCATTGTTTCTGATCTCAGCTGAGAGCCTCAGTCAGCCAGCCAAGAAGGATGCTTGACCGACACCATTAACTCCTCCGTCTCCCTCACCAACCCCTCCCCCGCAGCCACTCATCCCTGTTGCGTTCTCTCCCAAGCAGCCCTTGAATCTGCCCTTTTTATCCGTTCCCACCGCCCACAACCTGGTCTGGTCTCTCCGGTCCTCCCTCTCCGTGCTCCTCCAGCACTGACCTTGATTCTGGTTTCCCTGCTCCGTGCCTGTCCCCAGCAAGCACGCTCCCCTCTGCCGGCAGGTCTGCCGAAACTTAAATTACATCATGCCTGTCTTGTGTTTAAAGGCTTCCTATGCTTTTTCTTCCCATTTGGATAAATCCCAAACCCTCACATGTCTTACCTGACACCCCCAGGCCCCCGCTAATGTGTATTGTCACCTGGCCTTGCTCACCTCTCCAGCCTCATTCCGCCCCCATGACTCAGTTGCTGTCTTTGTCTAGCCATCAGGAGCTGCTCTGATCTCCTCAAACATACCTAGGTCCTTCCTGACTCAGGGGCTGCCTTTCTGGAGGTGCTGCTTCCTCTATCAGAATGATTACCTCTCCTCAGCCAGCTCCCCTTTTTGTCCCTCAGGGATGCCCCTGGTGCAGCGTTAGCGTGACTTCCCGGGGAAGGCCCTCGACGGGGCGGCCCCCGCTCCCCAGGCCTGCTTTGTCTTCTCCACACAGTGGGACTTCCTGAGGGCCTAGAGTGACCCCTGTCTGGTCGGCTGTCATGTTCCCAGGCTCGCCCACAGTCCCTGGCATGGGTTTGGTGCTCCATGAAAACTGAATCCAGTTCTTGCATTTATGTGAGCCCTATCCCTCATCCCCTCCCCCCCCCGCCCTGTAAAGAGTAAGTGCCACATGATCATGCATGTTCTACTTGCTGTATTTTCTGTCAGCGGTTTATCAAGTTAGCACAGAAAGTAGCTGATGAATCATTCTGCTAAATTTAACTTTTTTTTTTTTTTTTTTACCCCAAAGAGCATCTTGGAAGATGGCTTTCTATTATCAATAAAGTCGTGTTGTTTTTCCTAATCAATTTCTTTGTCCCTCCTAGGGTTCCCCAGCTGTGCTACCCAGACCATCTACGGAGCTGTAAACCACAGCGTGACTTTGTACACATCAGGCTCTGTACTCATTAAAGAGATTATGTGGAAGAAAGGAAAAGATAAAGTCATACAGTGGGACGAGGAGGACTCCCACGTCAAAGCTTACCCACCTTTCATAGATAGGGTTCATCTAGACCTCAAATCAGGAAACCTCACCATCTTCAATCTAACATTATCGGATGAAGATTGGTACGAAGTCGACTCTCTGAGCATTACCAATACCAAGTTCTATCTTCAAGTGATTGGTGAGTATCCTAGAAGTTGGTTTGTTTCAAATGGCAAATTGCCAACTATTTTAAGAGACTAACTTAAATTAATGGTTTATGAGGAATAAAAGGATTAGGTCTCTTAGGCTGTCAGAGGTTTCCTCTCCGTCTGGCACACAGGGGCTGGTTTCTGTCCCCTCATCACCCTCTGAGGAGGGGATGTGACCAAGGCGGAGAGAGCAGCCCCAGCTGGGCGGGGCCCCTGCCACCCGCATCACTTGTCTTACTAGGAATATTCTGGAAAGGGATGGAATGGTAGCAATGGGCTCAGAACTCTTGGAGCCCCTTTGGTAGATGATGCTCTGTTTCCACCTGCACCCCACCCCAGGAGGCGGATTTCTTTTTTCCTCTCTTATATCACTTTACACTGGAACCGGAGAGAGGGTACACCTTCCTCCCTGCTTCTTGCCGGTGCTTCTGGGTTCTTCTCCTTCCATGTTGTTATCATCTGTAGGCTCATGGGCACAGCCCAACGTTTCTGGGTCATCTGACTGCCTGGCGCCCTTTTGCCACTTCTGATGTTCTGGCTGTCATTAATTCTTAGTGATTATAATATTTAAATACATAACTCTAATATCCTGGCTTCTGAGTCCATGATCTTTCCTGTGATGGTCTTGTCCTCCCTCCCACCCCCACCCCATACATAGAGCCTAGAAGTTGTCACCACCACTCATTCTAAGCCCTCCACTGTGTCACGCCCGGTGCCCCCACTGCCATGTGAAACCCCTTTCCCTGGTCAGCTCTGCCATTCTGTCACTTTGTATGGCTCCCACCCTCCTGAGGCAGCCCAGGCATGCTCGCTCACTGGGCTCACTGGAAGACCGGCGTAGCTTCCTGGCTCCTTTTTATTTTTATTTATTTATTTATTTATTTATTAGTGATGATCACCTGATTTTTTTTTTTTTTTACAAATAGTTTATTGTCAAATTAGTTTCCACATAACACTCAGTGCTCATCCCCAAAGTGCCCTCCTCCATGCCCATCCCCCCCTCCCCCCCACATCCATCAGTCCTCGGTTTTTGTCAGCATTCAAGAGTCTCTCATGGTTTGCCTCTCTCCCTTTCCCCCACCATTTCCGCCCTTCTTCTCCCCCTTGTTCCTCCGTCAAGTTCCTCCTAATCCTCCTATACGTGCAAACATGTAATATTTGTCCTTCTCTGCCTGACTTATTTCGCTCAGCATAACACCCTCAAGGTCCATCCATGTTGCTACACATGGCCAGATTTCATTGTTTCTCATTGCCATGTAGTATTCCATGGTATAGATAAACCACATCTTCTTGATCCATTCATCTGTTGATGGACACTTAGGCTCTTTCCATGTTTTAGCTATTGTGGAGAGTGCTGCTATGAACATTGGGGTACATGTGCTCCTATGCCTCAGCATTTCTGTATCCCTTGGGTAAATTCCTAGCAGTGCTATTGCTGGGTCATAGGGGAGTTCTAGTGTTAGTTTCCTGAGGAACCTCCACACTGTTTTCCAGAGGGGCTGTACCAGTTTACATTCCCACCAACAGTGTAGGAGGGTGCCCGTGTCTCCACATCCTCGCCAGCATCTCGAGTTCTCTGATTTGCTCATTTTAGCCACTCTGACTGGCGTGAGGTGGTATCTCAGTGTGGTTTTGATTTGTATTTCCCTGATGAGGAGGGATGCTGAGCATCGTTTCATGTGTCTGTTGGCCATCTGGATGTCCTCTTTGGAGAAGTGTCTGTTCATGTCTTCTGCCCATTTCTTCACTGGGTTGTTTGTTTTTCGGGCGTGTAGTTTGGTGAGTTCCTTATAGATTCTGGATATTAACCCTTTATCTGATATGTCATTTGCAACTATCTTTTCCCATTCCGTTGGTTGCCTATTAATTTTCTGGGTTGTTTCCTTAGCTGTGCAGAAGCTTTTAATCTTGATGAGGTCCCAACAGTTTATTTTTGCTCTTGATTCCCTTGCTTTTGGGGATGTGTCAAGTAAGAAGTTGCTGCGGTGGAGGTCAAGGAGGATGTTTCCTGCTTTCTCCTCTAGGGTGTTGATAGTTTCCTGTCTCACGTTCAGGTCCTTTATCCATTTTGAATTGATTTTTGTGCATGGTGTGAGAAAATGATCTAGTTTCATTCTTCTGCATGTTGCTGTCCAATTCTCCCAACACCATCTGTTAAAAAGGCTGTCTTTTTTCCATTGGATATTCTTTCCTGCTTTGTCAAAGATCAGTTGGCTGTATACTTTTGGGTCCACTTCTGAGTTCTCAATTCTGTTCCATTGGTCTATGTGTCTGTTTTTGTGCCAATACCATACTGTCTTGAGGATAACAGCTTTGTAGTAGAGGCTAAAGTCTGGGATGGTGATACCTCCCGTTTTGGTTTTATTTTTCAGTATTACTTTGGCTATTCGGGGTCTTTTGTGGTTCCATACAAATTTTTGGATAGTTTGTTCTAGTTTTGAGAAGTATGCTGGTGCAATTTTGATTGGAATTGCATTGAATGTGTAGAGTGCTTTAGGTAGTAATGACATCTTAACTATATTTATTCTTCCTATCCATGAGCATGGAATGTTTTTCCATTTCTTTGTGTCTTCAATTTCCTCATAAGTTTTCTATAGTTTTCATCATAGAGATCTCTTGTATCCTTGGTTAGGTTTATTCCGAGGTATTTTATGGTTTTTTGTGCAATTGTGAATGGGATCAGTTTCTTGATTTCTCTTTCTGTTGCTTCATTGTTGGTGTATAAAAATGCAACCGATTTCTGTACGTTGATTTTGTACCCTGCAACTTGGCTGAATTCTTGGATCAGTTCTAGTAGGCTTCTGGTGGAGTCTGTCGGGTTTTCTATGTAGAGTATCATGTCATCTGCGAAGAGTGAAAGTTTGACTTCCTCTTTGCCAATTCTGATGTCCTGGCTCCTTTTCAAATAGGTCGGACTCACATGGCATGTCCACCTGGGTTCAGTCCAGTGTGCTGGTCTATTCCATGCTCCCACACCATGGCCGCAGAGAAACCCATCACCTCGCATAGTCCCCCACGTTAGGTTCCAGTCACCTGCCTCAGTCAAGTCCAACATGTCCCCTCTTCTCAAGGCTCCAATGCCCCTCCACACACCCCCAGACCCACTTCTCAGTGGAAGCCTTTGCTTCCGGTCTCACTGTGGAAGAGAAGGCACTCAGAGGACACATTCCACAGGACATCACCCTCAGCCCACCTGCCCTTGAGCCTGCTGTCTCTTCCTGGTCACAGAGGACCACGCCCTCCACTGTGCCCCGAGCCCCCCTGTGCTCAGGGGACGGCTGCTGTGTTCCTGCAGTGATCTCCTCCGTGAGCTGCCAGCTGGTCCCCACTGGCAGGCGGTATCCCATCAGATACTCATGCCCCCTCCACCCCCCAACTACCGCCCACTTGCTCTCTTGAGTTTGTAGAAACTCTCCTTCAAGAGTTGTCTGTGTTTGCTTTATAAACCCCTTTCTCCTGTTCACTTGACCCCACTCCGAACAGGCTTTCACTCCGTCACCAGGCCAAAGCTCTTGATACCCCCGTTAATGAATCCAGAGACCCGCTCACACTCAAGCCACATCTTTCCTGCCACTCGGCAGCACCCGACATGGCTGGTCATTCCCTGCCCTCTTCCGGTTTTCTTTTAACTCCCCAGCTGTCCCTTCTCAGCCGCCTTGGCTGGCTCCCACGTCTTGCCAACCTCTGAGCACTGGGGACTTTAAGATGGAAGCCACTGTCCTCTGTCCGCGTTCACACCCAGGTGGGTGTGCTCATCCCGTGTCGGGCTTTACTATCATTTCATCGCTGATAGTGCACGGATTGAGAGCTCTAGTCCAGACCACCACTGAGGCCTTACCTGTGTTTCTCCTGCCTACCGTGCATTTCCACTCGGACATCTGATTGGCCTTTCAAATTGAGCCACGTGTCCAAGAGCGAGCTCGTCAGCTTTCCTTTGAACCCTGTTCTTCCCCAAATCTTCCCCTGCCTGGTTAGCGGCATTTCCATCCTTTCATTTGCTGAGGCTAAAACCTTTATGTCGTCTTTGACACCGTGTTTCTCTTCCTCTTCCTCTTGAACACCATGTTTATTCCACCAGGAAATTTTTTGGTTTCACAGAATCTGACCGCCTCTCAGCCCTTCCTCTGGTGTTGGTCCAGGGCCGCTGCATTGCAGCTGGAAGATTGCCACGGCCACCTGATTAGTCACCTGAGATTGCTGCGGCCACTTGATTGGTCACCCAAGATCACTGTGGCCACCTGATTGGTCACCCTAGATTGCCGGGGCCACCTGATTGCCCAGCTTCTACCCTGGCCCAATTCCCCACCCCCCTTTTATTGAGATATAATTGACATATATAGCTCTGTAAAGATTAAGGTGTACAGCATAGTGCTTTGACTTACATAGTTTATTTTGACCACACTTTGTTTTTAAATACAAGCAGCCAGAGTGATCTTCAAACAGAAGCCAGGGCATGCCATTCATCTGCTTAGAGCCTTCTAGGCCCCCCCCCCCCCCCCACTCTGATCTGTAATGGCCTGCAAGGCTGTATGGCATCTAACATCCATGACCTCCTCTTTTTGTTCTCAGGTATCCTAGGGTTGCCCTTGCCTTTTGGCTGACTTTTCTGTGCTACCCACTCGCCCCCCCCCGCCCTTCCCCCAGCATTCCCAGCTGAGCCTGTACCCATCTCTCCCCTCTATGGGGTCTCAGGTTCACTTGTTTTCTCCTAGAAGAAGGTGTTGTTCTCGCCCTACCGCCTCTAGGCCAAAGGCATTTTAGGAAGATCCAACCATCGGCCAAGTGTGTAAGGTGGTTTCCAGGGGATGGAGTAGAGGCAGAAAGTCCAATGCAGAAGTTGAAGTCTGAGCCCTCCAAGTCCTGTTGGAGGCAGTCTTGGTGGAACGGGGCGGGATGGCGAGCTGGATAAACAGCTGCTATTCACCAGTTCACCTGCCCGCTCTGCTGAAGACATTAGGAGGGAGAGAGAATTTCTCTCTTGTCTATCCTT